AAGCGACGCATAGAGAAAGACTAGCGATAGTAAACACAGACACCAAAACTGCACTATATCTTACTCTTGGTCTTTTCAAGCTGAGCTCTTTTGATCTCTAATAGTTTTTTGTACTCATTTAATTTTATTCTAGTCAAACTATCTAAGCTTAAGTAGGCTGGGGAAAAGATATTGATGACCAGTGCGACCTACTTACGGTCTGCCTCCGACTAACATATTATACGAACAGTTGGCAGGACAGAAAAAATCTGATGTAGGCCTACGTCATATATTGTTTCGAAGGGATGCAGAATATATCAGCTTTGCTTGCATTCCCCATCCCAAATAAACAGTAAAGAAAAAACCATCACATACTATAAACGGACTTCGTGAAGTAGAAAAACGCATGCATATCTATCAATAAAGCGTAAGATCTCCCGACCCCTTATAAGACAGCCAATTTAAAGCGAAGCGCACAGCACTAGCAATGCAAATGACTTACTCATTTCTACAATAAAATATATAGGATGTATACGACCTATGTCATTTAAGATGATAAAAGACTGGTTGTTGAATTTTCCCACAATGGGCTAGTGAATGAATCAAAGTTATATTTGCTAGGACAATCGACTTCATTACACATTTTTCGTTCATAAGTAGAGTCTAGATTACCAGTAAATCAGTTGAATGAGATATATTTACCCCATTCAATGTAAAAAATGAAAGATTTACCAAAAATAAATGGATGAATGACGAACGAAAAATAATTAATTTAATCATAGATATGAAGACCAAGATGGTGTGGCCTTTTTTGTGTTGGCAGTCTCCTTTCGTTGTATTGAGGTTTTTAGACCTTGTTTTCGCAACTTGGTCATATTGGTAGGAAGACTTAGAGAAACGCACCTTGTCCGGAGTCCATTGTAGGCATAATCATTTCCAAAGTCGGACCGTGGAAGGGGTACATTTCGAGACGTTTAGCCGGCATCTTCAATGAGTTTTGCCATTCGTAGCACCATATTACAACTCTTCAATAAGAGAAGTGAAGCCGATCCTTGCACCAAACGTGTACTTAACAGTTATGGTATCTCTCATTCTGCCCTGGCCTATTCACATTTCGTATATTCATGCCTTTACTGTCACCATTTTTATTGCTTAATTACATTTGGTAGGGTGTGCACTTTTAAGCGGCTCTCATGAGAACCCTCCACACTCCTCGCCGGCCTTCTCACTGACCTTCATCCTTGTGCTGGGATGTCTGCTATATTGTTACGCGGTCCTCATTCCCTAGGTCTTACCACATTCTCCCTCTTGTTCCGTAAGATCCGTTTGCCTTCTCCCGGGTTCATATATTTGACACGACCCCTGACACCACATCTGTGCTACTCGAGGCGTTATTCGCTCTACCCTGCGTCTGGGTGACTAATTAGATGCTAAAGCATCTGAGTAAGTCTCATGGTCACGCCTTTGCCACATGGGCCAGGTCTCTTATAAAACCTACTGTCAGCCTACTAGCTCAAATCACTGCCGCGTCTATACTGTTTGTATCTCTAAAACCAAGTATATGGCTTCCAATACCCTAGTCTCTTGTATGCCAACCCACAAACGTTGTAGTTCAACAGTGAACCTAACCAAAGCAAGCAGTACCACAACATTTGTGGTTTGGCACACAAAAGACTAGGTCATAGAGTCATATAGATGGTATCATAGATAGAAAGAGGATAAAAACAGTGGAAGCTAGAGCTAGTTGGCCAACAATAGTCGTGATTCAAGGATCATTTCTACAATCAAACACGACTATTTTCACCCAAATAGCTTTATTTTACACCGCGTCCTTCCAATTTCTATCTGTGATACCATGTCCATCTCTTCCTACGTCCTAGTCGTGATTCTGCTTGTTTTGATTAGGCTATCTGAAGACGTCTCCTCTAGGCTTCTGATTGTTCCTTTCTCATCCCTCTGCGATATCTTTTCCTAAAATTAAGAATATTAACTTGATCCAGTCGTCTTCTTTTTGCTGATTTTGCTGTTGCCTGGTCTTATCCGAGTTTGTATAGGCAATATACAAAGTTTTAACTAACCCTGTCTTCTTCAAGTCTCCTGTTCATTAGATTTCACTCGTTCAGTATTTCGATGGCCTCTCGGATCTTTTGTTTTCTCGTATTTTCAACACATGCAGCCAACCTTACTGTTGATTTCGTGCCCCGTTTGTGCAATGCATTCCACTATTTCTGATCTTTGTGTATCCATATTCCTACAGAGTCTTTGATGTTACTTGATTCGTAGGTCGATTTTTCTTCTTGTTTCACCAATATACTTCTGCTCACAATTGCCGCATTTAATGCGATAAATTCCCGAGCAATCAAGTTTGTCCGTCCTCTCGTGTTGCGTCGGCAGACTTGTGAATAGTATTTTCTTTTCCTTTGTTATGACCCTGATATTCCATCTCTTAAGTAACTGTTGCAATTGTTGGCTCAGTTCTGATGAGGGCAGGCAAATCCACTTCTGATCGCCCTGATTCCTGATCTTATTTTCATAAAATCCAAATTGAAATCTGCCCCATATAACCTCTACATTTTTTTCTATAAATGCTCTGGCATATCCATTACTAAGGCAAATCCGTGTCAGTTTGTCCAACTCCTCGTCCCAAAACTTATTGTCCGTTAATCGTACGCTTCTGATGATCAAAATCCTCAGTATTCCGATATTCAGTCTGTTGTTATGAGACTAAAAATTAAGGATTATTCCTGCGTACGAATTCTTTCTGTATAGTGTCCTCATGAACGTTCCCTTGGAGTGTATGACTTTAATAGCCAGAAAGTAGCCGTTCATCCTCAACCTCCATTGTGAATTTAATTCTTTCAAGTTGGTTAATAAAATTTAGCAATTCATTTTGATTTTACTTGCCATGTGACAAAAAGTGCAAAGTAGTCATCCAAGTATCGCATTAGCACTCCTGATTGCACTGGTGACTTCTCGAATTAACTTTCCAACTTGTCCATATAAACATTTGCCAAGATGTGAAAGTAGAGATCCCATCGGTAGTTCAAATATTTGCTCGTAGATATTGCCGTTAAATGTAAAATGTGTTTATTAATTTCAGGTTGATTAATCATGTTAACTATTCTTTTCGTATCCGTTCAGCCCCCAGGATGTCCTCTTCTCGCTCTAATATCTCGAGCAGAGCGCTTACTGCTTTTTTACGCTCCGCACTCCACGCCGGCCTTCTCACACTTCTTAATCCTTGGGCTGTGAATGTGGATCAGTCTGCCATATTGTTACGCAGTCCTCGTTCCCTAGGTCTTACCACATTCTCCCTCTTGTTCCGTAAGATCTGTCTGCCCTCTCCCGGGTTCACATATTTCACACGACCCCTGCCACCCCATCTGTGCCACTCGAGGCGTTATTCGCCCTCCCCTGCGTCTGTGTGACTAATACGAGGCTAAGGCCTCTGAGTAAATTTCATGGTAACGACTTTGCCACGTGCATGAGGTCTCTTATAAAACCTACTGTCAGCTAACTAGCTCTAATCGCCGTCGCGTCTATCCTGTTTCTACCTTTAATACCAATGGGAGCCAGGGAAGAACTACGTAACAATATGGCAGACTCTCGTCAACATTTTCAGCACAAGGGTGGAGGGGGTGAGAACGACAGCGTGGAGTATGAAGGGTTTTCATGAATGCCGCTCGAAGGAGCACACCACACTACATCAGAATAAGCACGGTAAACATTGTGACAGTGAAGGCGTGATAGGAGGATATAGGGAATGTGAATAGGCCAGGGCAGAAGGGGAGATAACATAACTGTTTAGCACACGTTTTGTCAGAATCGGCTTCAATCCTTTCTTTGACGAGTTGTAATATGGTGCTAAGAATGGTAAAACTTGCTGACGATGCCGGCGAAGCGTCTCAAAATGTGCCACATACGCGTTCCGACTTTGGAAATGATTATGAATACAAGGTGCGTTTCTCTAATATGACCAAGTTGCCAAAACAAGGTCAAACAATTTCAATGATTAAATTTGTATACTATCAAAGGACAACCCAACCAAATATATGGGACAATGCATGGCATTCCATGAAATTCACATTATACCCGTGATACAAGGGAATTATGCCAATATGGCGTAGTCGCTAACGCGTCGAGATTACACGATGAACTGTCATGTTTCGACTCCCGCTGAAGGTGTTGATAAGACCCAGGCGAGACGAAGCTGCAGCCCACTCTGGATAAGAACATGTTTTGGTAAAGCAAATCTTTGAAATGCAATGCATAAGCTCTAGTTATATCAGTGGGGAGGTTCAACTATAAGTCATTCACTACCTCAAACGAAACAATGTGAATATATCTAGCATAACTAATTTTCTTGTATACTCGAGACCCTAATTATGAAAAAATATCTACTATAATGAATAGTGCCTAACAAAAGCCACGTTTCCAATTAAGACGTCAAAAATGATCCATTTTCTAGATCAAGGCCTGCACGGGCAAACAAGGGATAGGTTGGCCACACGAATCGATAGACGACGGTAGGAATAACGGCCAACTGGCGATATGCGCGAGATAAGCTTCAATAAAATAAAGATAGGGACAAAACAAATAAGCGAGATTTTTAAAGAACACATTTCTGGCTCTCGAAGGCAAATAGCGGACAAGAATGCTTTGTTCATAGACTCGAAGGATGATTACAGTTCCGGTTCGACACTAGAACCGGAAAAATCGAAGACAATGCATAACCGC